GTCTCCTGAGTAGCTGGGATTACAGGCACCATCACCATGCCTTGCGAATTTTTGTATTTTTAGTAGAGATGGGGTTTCACCATGTTGGTCAGGCTGGTCTCAAACTCCTGACCTCAAGTGATCTGCCCATCTCAACCTCCCAAAGTGCTGGGATTACAGGCCTGAGTCACTGTGACTGGCCTGCTTTATCTTAATCTTTGTCCTCTGTCTGTAACTTGTAATTTTCCTCTGCTTGTTTTTGCGATTTTTCTCTTTGTTGCTGGTGTCAAACAAATTGATTATGATGTGCTTAGGTATAATTTTCATTACGTTTCTTATACTTTGGGGTCATAGAACTTCTTGCATACATGGGTTCATAATTTCATCACATTGACACATTTTTAATCACCTTTACTTCAAATATTTTTTCTGTCCCTTCCTCCCACATTCACCCTCAGAGATTCACATTCATGTACATTGTAATTACAACCACCCTTCAAGATGTCTCATAGCTCATGGATGCTCTTTTTTCCCTTAGTCACTTACTCTATTTGGATGGCTTCTATTGCTACATGTTCAAATTCCTTAATCTTTTCTTCTATAGTATCTAATCTGCCACTGTTCTCATCAAGTATAATTTTTAATTCAGGCACTGTGTTTTGAATTCCTTGAAATTCAATTTGGATCTTTCTATAACTTATTTGTCTCGAATTAACATGGTCAGTCCTAATTTTAACTTCGTAAGTACATGGAATACAGTTATAACAACTTTTAACATGCCCTCTCATATTAACTCTATCATCTGCATCATTTATGAGTTGAGTTCCATTTATGGACTTTTCCTGTGCGTCATACTTTCCTGATTCCTGTCAAGAACTATGAAGACTCTGAGACTTTACCCTGCTCGAGCCACAATTCCATGGATGCTGACAGAAGACAAAGACTTCTGGGTCAAAGATAAAGAACAGTTTATTATTCAGAGAAATCACAGTAACCAGAGTATTAGTGTCTGTTCTCTGAGTCCTGATTCCCACATGGTGCCATAGGTGGACCAGCTGATTCCTGCACACTCAGCGGGTGATATCATAGGGGAGGAATCTTAAACTTAGAGAATGTATTAGTCTATTTTCATGCTGCTATGAAGAAATACCCAAGACTGGGTAATTTATAAAGAAAAGAGGTTTAATGGACTCACAGTTCCACATGGCTGGGGAGGCCTCATAATCACAGTGGAAGGCAAGGGAGGTGCAACTGCATGTCTTACATGGTGGCAGGCAAGAGAGTGTGTGAAGGGAAACTCCCCTTTATAAAACTATCATATCTCGTGAGACTTCTTCACTATCATGAGAACAGCATGGGGAAGCCCACCCCTGTGATTCAATTACCTCCCACAGGGTCCCTCCCACAACATGTGTGGATTATTCAATTCAAGATGAGATTTAGGTGGAGAGACAACCAAACCGTATCAGAGAATCTCAAGACTCTCTGAACCTTTTAAAATTCACAATAAGTATGTATGCTCTTTAATTTGAAGAGAAACATGATCCTTTTCAAAGATACAAGCAGTGCCTCTGCTCACAAAATATGCAGAAATATGAAAGATGCATGGAGAGTTGTCTTGCAATACTTCTTTGCATGCCTGGTAATTTTGTTGATTTTACTTTGTTGGGTATGAGATATATTTATAATTTTTATAAATATTTTTGAGCGTCATTCTAAAATGCAGTTAAGTTAGTCAAGAGATATTCTGATCCTTTCAAGTCTCACTTTTAAGCTCTACTGGGGAAGACAGGAGAAGCAGTTAGTCTATTGCCTGTTTTGCTCCACTACTAAGGCAAAAACCTTCCGAGTTCTTTATGAATGTTTAGGCTTTCCAGCCTGGCTGGTGTGAACAGGCACTTCTTCTAGCCCTGCGTAAGCTCCAGGTATCACCCTCTCAGATCTTTGTTAGTGTTCCTACCCAGTTGAAGACTGAGGGGTTCCTTCTGTAGACCTCTGAGCATTCCCGCTGTGGAGCTCTCTTCTCTGTAGAATGCTACCTTGCAAACATTAGCTACCTTGGCCTTCCAGGACTCTCACCTCTGTCTCCTCCATGTGGAGAGTTTGCTGGGCTCCCCCTGGGTTCCTCCTCTCTGCACCACAGCCTGGAAACTCTCCAGGCAGCCAGCTGGGCAATTACAAGGCTCACCTCATTTCCTGACTCTCAGGGGCCACTGAGACAAAGTTTCAACACTAACTGGTACTTTTACTCTTCATGTTAATGGAAAAACATTTGAACACTTAAAATTAATTTACCTCATTCCAATAATAAATGCCATTATTGTGGTATATTTTAAGGTTATGTATATCTTAACTCCATAAGACATTACTGTCAGTATTGATTTATGCCATCAATATTTATCTAGACTTATCCAATAATTACCATTTACCTTGCTCTTAATTCCTTCCTTTATCTTTGGCCTTCTGTTTGGGATTAATAGCTTTCTACTTGCAGAACACCAGAATTCTCTGGTGATGAACTCTGCCTTTCTTTTTGGTCCAAAACGTCCTTCATTTACCTTTATTTTTGAAACATACTATTCCCCTGGGTTTAGAATTCTTGGTTCACAGCTATTTTGGTGTATTATCTTCTTATTTTCATTATCCATATTGAAAAGTCAGCTATCAGTCCAAGTGCTTGAAGATAGTTTTTTAGATGTTTTGTTTCTCTTTGGTTTTCAGGAATTTTACTATGATGGGTCTTGTTGTGGATTTATTTATTTATATTATTTATAATATTTATATTTCTATATATTATTTATTTACTATGATGGGCCTGGTTGTGTATTTATTTATTTATATTTATTCTGCTTGAAGTTCAAAGGGCTTTTGGAACATTTGGCTCTGATGTCCTTCATCAATATGGGAAATTTCTCACCACATTCTTCAACTATTGCTTCTGCCCAGTTGTCTCCCTCCTTCCTGTCTGGGACTCCAACTGTACTTGTGATAGACTTTGTCATAAGATCCTTAATATCTTTTTCCCTTTCTTTAGTGTTTGCCATCCTTTTTTCCCCTACTATTTTTAATTTTCGGTACATTCTGACCTAACTTCTAGTTCAGGAATCTTCTTTCAGCTGTGTCTAATATGTTGTTCAATCATAAATTCATTCATTGAATTCTTAATTTCTTTTGCAGTATCATTTACTTCTAGACTCTTTCATTGCAAAATTTATTTTGTTTTGAATTCCTAGTTCTCAACTAAAATTTCCAATCTTATCTTTATCTCCTTATACATACTCAGCATAATTATCTTATACTTTGTGTTTATAACTCTAATATTTTCAGCTCATATGAACTTACTTCTCTTGCTTTATTGTTTTGTTTTTCATGTTATCCTTTTCCCCTCATTTTTTGGGGTATTTTTTATGTGTGTGCAGGACATTATATTTTGCTAATTATTTATATAAATGATTTGAAGCCTATAATACTCTTTTTCACTCCTGGTAAATATTTTACATTTGCTTTTCTTAGATGCCTGAGGGGACTAGCAATCTGGGCTGGTCTTAACTTAATGTGGGGATTGAGATGATTTGAAGCTGGGCAGCAGTCCAAGGCCAATCTACTGCTCATTCATTCTTCCTGCTAGGATACATATCTTTGGGGTTTCAACCCCAAAACAGAGAGTTTATCAGGAGCCATAGCCTTTTTCAGCAACGGAGCTCCAGACACCTTCTGTAGAATCAGCAAACGCCCTAAGGTAAAAAGAGTTTCAAATTCTGGGCTAACATATCTGGAGATTCATTGCTTCCCAGAACTTAGCTTTACAGTTCTTCAGTATCTTATTAGCTCACTGATGCCTTTAAATAGTCTCTCTCTCTCCATATGTATATGTATAATATATAATACATAAATATATGTATTTTTTGTTAGTTGTCTTCAGTAGGAGAAATAGTCTAAGTTAGACTTTCATTATTGAATGTTAGTCTCTCCTTTTTCTCATTTTCAAACAACACATACTATAAATTTCAATGTTAAAGACATATATTTAGGTAAGACATTTTGATCCTAATTTTGAATAGTTATTTCAAAATTATTTGATAGAACATAATTATGTCAACATTTTCATACATTTAATTAGTCTCTTACCATATAGTCCCTTTCAAATGTGCCTTCCTCAGTCTTGAGTTTTGTCTTCCTTTCTATATTTATTGTTTTTGCTCAGGCCTTCTGTTAGTTTATTCAGAAAGGATAACAGGGTGGCAGATTTTCTTAATCTTTGTATTCCTGAGAAAATATTGCTCTGACTTCATGTATAAATAATAACTTCATTAAATATAGAAACTGTGCCCTTTAGAGCTCTGGAAACTGTGACTCCATTTTCTTCTAGCTTTTAGGGTTGTGGAAGAAGAAAGTTAAGACTAATCTGATCCTGGTGGTTTTAATTACTACCTGATTTTGACTATGCTTAAAAAGCCTTTATCATTTATCTTCAGAAATTCCATGAAGCTATGCAGATGTCTGTTCTGAGTTTTTCCTTTGCCTATAAATATAATGTGTACTGTCATGTTTTGGGTGGAAGAACTGATTTACATCAGGAAATTTTTTTTTCTGTTATTATTCTAAAGATTGTTTCATTTCTGTTTGTTCTATATTCCCTTCTTAATATCCCAAGAATACGTAGATTTAATCCCCTGCATTTATTCTCCATGTTTTTCAATGAAATATTTATTCTCATTGTTATAACACATTCATCTCAGTGTTTGCAAACCCAGTGCTTATAGAATTCAGGCAAGTAACAATAAACAAAATAAATGAAGCCAGCCTGGCACAAAAGTAATGAGTGATGAGGATTCTGGAAGGCAGAAGTGTCATCTAAAGATGGCAGCTACTGATCAACTGGTATTCAGTGCTAATAAAGTGTTATTATAATTCAATATTTTTCCAGAAAAATTCAAGTCTGTGGGTTTTTTCTTTTTTTTCTTTTTTTCCTATTTCACAGCAGAAGAAAAGAAAAGCTAACAAAGGATTTCACAACTTACCATCGGGATGATCTTGGTCACACACAGAATGATCTGTCACGTCATCGCCTTTTGTAATATTGTCATCCTTTGCAGAATCTAACAACAACCAAGCAAAACCTTTGGTCAGCATTTTAAAATTGGAAATAGAGCAGCTTTCAGCACTAACATGATAGATTTATGTTTGAGGAAAAAAATAGAATTTATTACTTTAAAAAATAACCACAAATACATATGTTTGCCAATAAATAGGCGCTTCCCACCCCCCCCCCCGCCCTGCCCCCATACTATGTGAGATATCTGCTCAAAGCTTACAAAGGCAGAGATGTAGCTAGCTGGGATATCTTTTTGCAACAAATAAGAAAATAAAAGCAATCTTTTTGCATCAGGGAAAGTCTTTGAACTGTAGGAAAGAATATAAAAGGAAGGCAAAATAGAGAAGATTAAAGGACTATCTAATTTTAATGTTCTTAATGCTTCCATTACTGTGGTTGCTCACATGTGGGAGTCTTGAGTCCTTGAAAAAGTCAGATACAGAACCTTGAAATCCAGTGGTAATTAAGTTCATCTTCCTCGGGAACCACAACAGTAGAACAATAGCATAGAGGGAATGCAGACCTTCTGGTCTCTGCAAGGTCATTCCCTCCCTGGTTTAGCACATTTAAACATGGAATAATTGTACACTTATTATTATTATTTTGTTATAGGATATGGTTACAGGAAAAAAGCATGGCTAAAAGGGTTCCCTGACTATGGGCTATTGCAAAACTACAAAGGGCTCCTTGCTGAATATTTAGGTCTCCCTGGAGGCTGTTTAAAAAAGCATTGGAATGATCCTATTAATGGATCAACAGGAAGACAGCAAGTAGGTCTCTCATTCATTTTCCAAACATGTAATAATGGCCAAGTATATGCCAGACACTTTTTTTAGAAAGAGTCTCTGTTACCCAGGCTGGATGCAGTGCTGCAACTGTAGCTCACTGCAACCTCAAACTTCTGGGCTGAAGTGATCCTCCTGTTCCAGCCTCTGTAGTAGCTAGGACCATAGGCATAGGCCACCATGCCCACTTAGTTTTCTAATTTTTTGTATAGGTAGGATTTTGTAATTTTGCCCAAACTGGTCTTGAACTCCTGGCCTCAAAGGATCCTCCTGCCTCATTCTCCCGAAGTGCTGGGATTATAGGTGTGAGCCATCACACCTCACTGTACTTGAAGTTGGGGAGCCAACAGGAAACAAAACACCAAATCTCTGCCCTCATGGAGCTTATAGTCTAGTAGATATTTTTCATGCTGCTGAAAGGAAAGCAATCCAAAGATATCTAAAAGTCATAAGCTAATCCTGTAAGCATGTGGCCATGGAGAAAGCTAGGGGTGGTACACCAACACCTTGATTACTTACAAATGGAGTCTCTACTGAATTTGTGTCTCTTGGTTGAGTTTTAACTCCCTAACAGAGCTGAATCAGATGGAGTCTAAAACAAACTATTCTTTGTTTGTTTCCTTTTCCTCCCTCCCTCTGTCTCTCTCCACTCATTTCCTCTCAAAATTAGGAGATAGCTTTAAACAACATGGTTTGGAAAATTATGAGAAAGTTTGTTTCTTGAACCTGCCACAAGCAACATTTGATGGACAAGTGAGAAACCTGGGTAGTTAACATATGATTCAAATTTAATAACCAGTGAAGCAAGTATTAATATATACCCGAAGTGTGTGGCTTTAATTAACTGCAAATAATTCCCCCAAGGCAAATGTTTAATTATCTGCACTGCTTCTTATTTCTTTCTGAGACTGACAATAAGTCTAAAAGTCCAAATTTGGAAGCAAAACTGAGCACAGACACATTTGCCAAACTGTTATCTAACTCATGTCAAATTGTTTTAAACCAGCTCCCATTAAAAAATGCTCTTTTAATTTTGGAGCTAAGATGTCAACTGAAAAAAAAATTTTGAATATTTTTCTCACATGAACACTAAAAATATACAGTGATTAAAAAAGGTATTATATAGATCAGGCTAAATTTTAAATTTGAAAGTGTTTTAGTTTTAATTGTTTATTAAAAATGATATTATTTGATATTTCATCTTGTACAACATTAATTTCTCTCAACATCAATGTTATAGAATTTTCCAAGATTTTGTATTTAGTTAAAATTTATTCATTTACACTGAACAATAATTCATTGTTGTTAATCATAATGTTACATAAACATGATTCTGCACCAAATATTACATAAGAAATGTCTCTTCAATGGTGATTTACATTGAGTTTACAAATTTATGATCTAATGAGTCACATAAGATGGGTGAAAGCGTTTGAAAAATTACTCACCAGACTGTATCTGTTTTATCACCAAAATCTGTGTCTTTAGCAAATAAATTATCTTTGTAATTTCAATATTCTTGAGGAGTTGCTTTAACATTATTGAGGCACCTTCTGACATGTTTCTATATAATGCATTTCATTGCATCCAAGATGCCATCAGTTGTTCTTTGCACTATTATTTTAGGTAGTATAACACATTATCAGTTCTAAGACAAGTCCTGACTTTAGAAATAAAATCTATGAAAGAATATGCATTTTAGAAAAATGCCGTTTTAGTGTATTCGATGTGTGCACACAAATATACATGTCTTTATGTGATGACAAGGATTTCATATCAGCATGACCCACCACCAAACCCACAAGCTCACTGTCATGTATGTGAGACTTTTCTCCAGAAATGGTTCTACCTCCACACACATCAATAAAGTAGGAGGAAAAGTACTATATAACCTCATGACAATATTCACAAATAAGCAGGTACCTATGGAAGATGGTTTCCACCAAAGTTACTTTATTTATAGGGATCTCAGAATTTCTATCTCATAACCTTTAGCAGGCTTAGATTTGATTCTGTATCTTTTACATCATGGATTTCATTACATTACGTTTAGTTGTAGGTTTGAAGTGGTAGTGCAGCTTTTCTGCTTAGGGGGTGATGAAAGCTGCACTGGATATGTACATGAAATCCTTACTCATAATGATGGAGAAAGAAAATATATATATTCATGATCTGAATATTTGTGTCCCCCTAAAATTCCTAAGCTGAAATTCTAACTGCCAAGGTGATGGCATTAGGGGGTGGGGCCTTAGGAAGGTGATTAGATCATAAAAGTGGAGCCTTCATGAATGAGACTAGTACCCTTAAGAAAAAGATTTAAAAAGGTCCCAGGGAGTCCCCTTACCCTTTCCACTATGTGAGGACACAGTTAGAAGGCACCATCTATGAACCAGAAAGTGAGTTCTCACCAGATACTGAATCTTCTGGTGCCTTGATCTTTGACTTCCCAGTCTCCAGAACTGTAAGAAATGAATTGCTGTTGCCTATAAGCCACCCAGTTAATGCTATTTTGTTGTAGGAGCCTGGACTAAGACACCAGTATATATGGCCACTAAAATAACTTATTATTTCTATGTAAGTTCTGTAAACTACACTAAAAATGTAGTTGCATATAGTAAACTCTTGCAGCCCCTTGGATTTGCATTTTATTTAATTCTAAAAATTATCATTTGGTAATGTTCAAAAACGTGTAAAATAGTTATCACCTAATTCTGAGATTCAGTCAATGTTATTTTAATAACAGAGAACTAGAATTAAATTTAAATGTAGCTTCTGACTTTCAAAATCTTTAAGGTCAATGTCATATTTAAAGAACAAATGCAAATATTAAATCAAATATTCAAGCCAAAGGGCTGTAGATAGATGTGCTTTTAAGATTAACAAAAATAAAAAAGAAACACTTTCATAAATTAAAAAAGAAAAAGCCCTCACTTAGAAAGTTGAAAAGGTTTAAAGGAATATTTAAAATAGATTAAAATAAAATGAAAAACCTCATAAAACAGAAATTCCGAAAAGTAGGTCACTTTCAATGCAGTTAATTACACATATCTACACGGAATATTACACATATGGATTTAAGCTGTGGTGAAAGATGATGAAACTATTGAATTTTTAACAAAAATATCTTAACTATTAAGTGAAAATAAATACTATCTCTATCTAAGATGTCCCTTTAGAACAGAAGTTCTTAACCCTCGAGGATCCCTGGGTAAGCTATATGGGTCTACAAATCCTTTTGAAAAAACATGCAAAATGTGTGTATATGTTTGTATTTCTGGCAGAAGATAGCATCCACCATATTAGCTCTATGAACCCACTAAGGTTAAAAATAATTTAAAACGTGTACCTCAATGCCAGTAACACTGCCATTTTACAAAAGATTTTCCAGACCATTTTTGAGAAATTAGCTACTGAGCTTGATTCCTGCTTCATGAATTAATCAATGATGGCAAATCTTGAATTCTTAAGGTAGATGTGATTTGAGAAAGTAGCCAACAAATATAGAGATGTGTTAAATAAATGAGAGGGACGATCCAACTGGCAAAAAACCATGTTGCATCAAAATTAGAGGTGATTATAAAGTATAAAACTGACTGCATGGTTAACTGTCTTTGAAGATAACTATTCAAGCTACGTGGTCTAAAAAATGCACCGAGTAAGAGAGGAAGCCCCTGACTATTATTCAGAGTGATGATAGGAGGTCATTTTGGTGTAGAAGTTCTAATGGGTCTGAACAAAAAAAAATGCTATACACAAAAACCTACACATAAACTAGTCTTTCTCTGTAATGCATAAATGTCTACACATGAGTACCAGAGCGTGATGCAAAAATTGCACAGAAACACCATCAGCTGGATTTTCTTTGATTCTTGTTAACTGATTTGATTATGCCATGCAAAACATTTATCCTGGCCTGCTCGTTAGAATCTCTGGCTTATTATGTGAAGCAATTAGGACAAAGTAATTTTTCCTCCATCTGAACCAGGTGCTTTTCTAAATAAACGAGAGTCTCCCCAGTCGATAATGCTCTTACTGAAACTTTGCAGCGGCTATTCTTTTCTACAGGAAAAAACTATCCTGCAACACATTCCCAGACTATTCTGATGCTGACGATCTGAACTGGGCTTGGTCCCAGTGAAGCTGGATAAACAAGGCTGAACTATATTTACCTGAAAAGTAACAGGGCCCATAGACAGGACATTGCTCAGGGCATCAGGAG